GCGGAGACGGCGTGGCAGAGCCAGCCCGGCCGCAACGGGGGCTATTCAGGTGGTCTTTGGGGACCAAATTAACGGCAGATGAACCAACAGGACTGCCATACACCACGCACGCGAGCCTGCCTACAAAATGCCACATAAGCGTCCCCAAAAGCCTTCCCTGAGGTTCAGAGAAATAAAGCGCAGGTGAGATTCCCCCCTTCACCCCTCTCCCTCCCCCCAGAAGCGGCCGCTGCCCTGCAGTGGGCCGGGGGCGCCCAGGTGCGTTTTGGGGAGACCAGGCTCAAGGCAGCGGATGCGCCTGGCGCCGAGCCCAGGCATTTGGCGCTTGCCCAGCAGCAACAGGGCTGATTTCAGCCACTCCTGGCTGACACTGGAGGACCTCCAATTTAAAGAGAAGGCAGCAGAAAGCAAAATAAAACGCTGGTTTGCCCACGCACTTGAACACAGCGCTGTGACAAGGATCAAAATATACTTTACTTTCCTGAATGTCATGCAGATACCACTGGCCTTCGAAACAAGGCTGACAGGCTTGCGCGAGGGGACTGTCGTTATGTCAAAGATGCCGGGAGGATCAGAAATATTTGCCCTCTTAATCAACCTGCAAGCAGTACCGGTAGCGCACAGCACGTTAGTGCTGTATTCCCGAACAAGACCAGGCTGAGGAGAAAAGACCACGAAGCGGCCACAGTAGCACGGATGGCAGAGGCCGTGGGCTCGCCAGACATCCCGAATGCTATCAAAGTGTTAAAAACTATATGAAAAACACTGGCGCCACAGATGTCTTCAAAATACCAGAGTCTCCTTGGCTGCCTGCTAAAATAACCTCACAGCATTGCAGGGCACGAGAACTCGGAGGAACAGGCTGTACTTTGGGCTGTTCAATTCCACAACAAAAGAAGGGGAGAGAATACTCTCCGCCACAATCGCATCGCTCCCAGCAGACACCAACCTTGTCTCCAGCTGGGGCTGTGAGTGCCCTGGCTGCTAATGCCTTGTTAATGCTCTCAATTATCACTCGTGCGCTCCCATCGCACAAGCCTCACAGTGAACAGACTCTGCCTGTTGCCTTATGGGAGCGGAGGGGGAATTCAGGGAAACAGCCCTGTTTGCACAGAGGCAGAGGCCAGGAGAGTCGGAGGGAGCTTGCGAGCCCCCCTCACCTTCCATGCCTGGCACAGGGCCATCCGGGATGTAATGTGGCTCCTTTGCTAAGCTCAGGCTGGGATGTAGAAGCATCATTTGGGAGCTCTGCCTACCACTGCTACACACTCTGGAGCTAGTCTATAGGGCATTTAAAGATCCTTGTGAAGCCTGGGCAATCAAGTCCATCCACAGCTGTACAAAGAGGGATGCTGTGAGCAAATGACTCCATCCCAATGGTGTGGCAGGGGGGGAGAGCTTGGAGGAGCTCGAGGCTTGGAGGGGACATGTCTGGACACAGACATGTCTCATAACAGAGTCTCCTGCTGGACCCTGGCTGATGTGCTTCCCCTCCCAGCCCCTGCGCTCTTTGAGGTGCCAGAAAACCTGCCCTTCACCTACAAAGAGCTGCCATGTCCACCCACTTCACCTAGATAGGATCGAACTTCTGTGAGACACAAAGCAATTACAGGGGACTTATTTAAAGCATTTTGGCATCCTCAGGGCTGAAATGCCTCCATAAGAAGGGGCTATTTTTGCATTCTTAATAACAACCGCATCTAACCTCAGGTTTTTGAAGAACCACCACAGGCCACATGAAAATCTCCTAAATCGTTGGAGTGGTCCTGGGCTGTCGCAGATGTGACTGAGATTTGGTGCTTCCCTCTCTCAGAAAGAGTCCAGGCAACAGAGCCCCTTGTGAGCACAGAAGACCAAGCCTCTGCCTTCAGCAAGTGCCTTCCAAGCAACGGCTCTTCTGCTCGTCCTTGGTTTCCCAGTTCCAGACTTCTGTTGTGCCTGGGCTTTTATCTCAAGGTAAATACACATTCTCATAATAACCTTCATTAACTTGCATTGTTAAAGACGTACCAGTGATTCATATAAAGCCCTTGCTTAACAACGGAAGAACATTGCAACTAACCTTGCCCCCTTCTGCCCTCCTGTTAAGCTCCAAAAAGTACAGAAATGTCTGCTGAAGGCAATTTCTATAAACAATCCACTTTACCCTTTTGTATGGTCACTTAGAAAACAATATTAACAAAGACAAGCCACACAACCTATTTGGCCCCTCCCCGCCCCCCCCCCCCCCCCCCAAGCTAGGCTTGGTATTTTTTCAACACATACATCACTAGGAGAAATATTTGTATTTGTGCACATGCAGATAAACAGTTTTGGAAAACACAGGCTCTTAAAAAAATAGAGAGAGAGAGAGAGAGAGAGAGAGAGAGAGAATGAGAATGAGCTTGGCTTAAAGAGATTGAAGAAAAAAAAAGAAACTAGATCTTTTTGACTTTGTATTGTTTGAGTGCTTAAGATTCCTCTTTTTCAGCATTTAGCTCCAGCCACGAGAGCTGGAAACATTTTGCAAAATGGAAAGATAAGTGTTGCATGTAATCATGACTCCAGCAGCAGATGATTTCTATGAGAATGGAGATAAAACTACAATATCTAAAAACAACAGCATGACTGCAGTCTGCGCAGATAGGTATGTGACAGTGGTACAAAACAGTTCCTAAGATCTAGGTATGTTTCTCCTTCATTTAGATCGAAGGGAGCTCCAAGTCTGCAATAACACTCAGCCCTACCTTTCTTCTGCATTTGGGGAAAGAGAAGAGGGGAAGCCCAGTGGCCTGCAGCTCTGCTACACTGCTGCTCTCACGTGCATTCTCTGAGGACTAGCACAGAGCAGGACCCTGAAGTGCCTGTGACCCTTCCTCCAAACTTCATGCTCCTTCTTGTCAAAGAGAAATCCAGAGGCTCAGGAGCCCATCAGAGCAGACCTAGGTGTTACTAGAAGCCTCTGTTGTGAGTTCCTTCTGTTCCACCCTGTTTTATATATCTTCTACTTTCTATACCTCCTCTTTCTCCACCAGCTTCCACCTGCTCTTCCCTCTCAAGATACCATCTCCCAGCAACTGGGGCTCATCTGCTGCAGGATTGCAGCCAGCAGATCTGTCATTCATCATAGATGAAATGCCAGGGGCTGCACTGGTCTGTGCTTGGGTGGGAACAGAGGGAGAGCCTCCAGGGTATCACTAGGCACATGAAAAAAGTTCAAAAATATATGCTTTGTGACCATGGGAAAGAGACTTCCAGCAGTGGCCTGAACTCACTGCCTGGACCATCCCATACTTTGCTTTACCCAATCATTGCAAATAGAGGGCTAGAAGGAACAGAGCTCCAAACCCCTTAACCTGTCTTACTTGTGGCTTCCCTGCTCAGCTCTGACAGCTTTCACAATACAGCCTCCACCTCCAGCACCCTCTTTGGCTACCATTAACACCCTAGCCTCTTGAATACTTTTGTCTGAGGATCACTTTTTTGGAAGACTGCATCTTTCCGGTCCCATGTTATGATTCAGGGCTCACTGGAACAACCCACTAACTGCAGGTTTTTAGGGATTTCAGGTTCTTGCCTAGCAGGGTAGGCAGGATGACAGGAAAAATAATGACTCAAAGAACTTAAACCAGGGAGCTGAAAGTACACTCTATCCTGATAGCCAGACGTTACAGGGTACCACGATCAGCATCTTGCAGATAAGAAAAATGGAGCAAAAGAGAACTTTCCCTAAACCACTGGCAAGTCAATGGCACAATCAATAATGGAACCCAGGTAGGATTCCTATCTGCTTCCTGGAACAGCCATAGAGAGGAGAACATCAGCCTGCGCCAGCTCTTTGTATTAATTGCATCAAAGTATTTTCCCTCTGCCCGGTTTTCCTAAGCAAGAACATGAATTCCTTTGCCCTTACCATGCTCTCCTACCAGCTGCTGCAGCTTCCCATAAGGATCTGTGCCCAAATTTACTGGGCTATTAACCATGGCCACAGGTGAATTACCATTCTTCTTTCCTTTGGGAACTGGAACTGAACTGGCTTTACTAGTTGGAGAAGGCAGGATGGTAGGATAGTTCATGTTGCCATGGTTGGAGAGTCCAGCAGTCAGTTTAATGCTTGCAGGGGCATTGGAAGACTTACAGTTCACCTGTGGTCCTTCAACATGACAGTCAGCATGGTAAATGCTGTGCACGGACTCTGAATCTGGAGGAGGAGCGGGGCTTTGCAAGTTGGGTGATGGAGAGGGAAGCATCAGTTGGCCTCCAGGTTTCATGACCTTGAGTTCCAAGTCACAGATCTCAGGGTTGGAGCGTGGCCCCCGAGGGCTCCCATTGCTGATGTGATAGTGGTGGTGATGGTGGTGGTGGTGGTGGATGAGGTGATGAATGGAGGTGATACGCTTTTTGCCTCGGCGGCTTTGTCCATTTGTGGTGCTGTTCGGGTTAACTTTTTTCCGGCGCTTGCTCTGCCAGTTGTTGTACAGACGTATCGTCCGCCGTTTCACCTTCCTGAAGATGTGGCAGATGTATTTGAGCAGCTCTTCATAGCAGCTACCTGGCTCTGAGAAGCTGGCAATTGTGCTGTCATTGGAGAGATAACGGGCCCGCTGCTCCTGCATCAGCTGGTTCTCCCGCTGCTTTGTTTCAGAAAACTGTGTTGCTATCACAACCAGGCACAAGTTAATCATGAAGAAGGAACCAACCTGGAGAAGACACAGGGAAAGGAATTAACAGTGATTTTACAAAGCAACACACGCACTTTGCTACCACATGAGCTGATGAGGTGTCTGAGCTGAAGTGCGGCTCTTAGAAACCTTGAGATTTCCAAACATGCCAAATCCCAGAGTCTGTTCACCAAACGTTATATTAACATGTGCTTGAGCTCCTAAATTTGCTCTTAAACTGTGTCAAGTTATTTTGGCAATGGCAAAGCTGTTAACAATAGCTTTCACCACTTTCCTTCCCCCAACAATGACGACATTTGCTACTAATGCAGGGTGTATGAAACAGTGTAATCTAGCACCACTGCAAAACAGACTACTAGGGAACACCCAGCCAACCCACAAGGAAAGATGTTGGAAATCCAATTTGTGCTGTACTGGAACTGCCTCTTCTCTTCCTCCGTCACTTCGTGCCCTGGCATAGCATACCCTGGTTTCTAGAATGCCAGTCAGGGTCCATATGCCTGTGAAGTCACCTTTCTCTTGTAGCTCTTTGCGACATAGAGGTACATTCTCCAGGAAGTTTGGTGCTCCTAGAAAGGCCTGATTAATTGCCTGGCTTGAGCTGAAATGATCTTGGGTGATATGTGGTTTTGGAAACGTAGTCCCGAGGATAAGAATGTAAAGTGACCTAAGGCTGCGTCCTCTCAGCTGGTGAGTCCACACACTAGCTTTTCACCACTTGAATTCATAAATCAGCCAAAGGAAAACGTCAAATATTCCCATCAGAGAAACAGTGCTCTTAGGCGTGAAAGGGACTGACGTCAAGACAGTGCCACTGCCTACACAGCCAAACCTCTATGCTGGGCTCAGTAGGAAATGTATGGATTTAATCTAGGCCATTGTCTGATGAATCCCCAGGGGAAGCCAGCAGGAGATGCAGTCTGTAGTGTTATTCTCCAATCTGTAATATCAGCCTGGATACCGTTTGGAAAGCAGCAAGGGTGCCATTCCCAACTCCAAGTGACTTGAGGATTAGTCAACTTCTGGCTTTTCTGCAAGGATCCATATGTAGAGAAGGGCTCAAGAGGGTGGAGAGAAAATCTCTACTATGCATGGCCCATTGCTAAAGGCTCAAAAATCACTGGCTTCAGAATGTTGTCCATTACAGGGGAACACTCAGCGGTCAGATCTACACCTTTTCCATTGCTGGTGGGGGCCGTGGTGCTTTGACTTCACAATCCAGAGTTTCCAAGGGCTTCAAAAGCACAGAGATAACGACGGAGTTGTATGTAAAGAATATCCATCCACAGCAATACTTTGAAGTGCCTCTGTCCCATGTCTTACCTGACATACACATGGTACTTCTCCCTCTGCCATCTGTGCCCTCTGCCCTCCTGACTTAAATGGTTGACTTTTCCACAAGTGTAGCCCCCTGGAGAAGGTTGTACCCCCACTTCCATCCTAAAAAAAGAACCTTGCTAATGTGGGATGAAAGCTTCTGAAGATAACCTCAAACTCCTCCATGGAATAATACTTTTTTTTTTTTTAAAAGGAATGACAGCAGTGTAAGACCTCAGAAAGGTGCGCTGCTATTACTACCATTATTTAAAATGCTCAGGTGAAGTTTAGCAGCTCTCTGAGGGTCCTTCACTGAAATGAGCTGTCCTCTGGCATGTCGACGAGGCTAAAGGAAGAAAGATTATTGCCTCTCTGCTCTTTGTTCTCATTAGCAGTCGCTTGGCCAAGGCACAATAGTTAGGACACATCAAGGTGATAAGACCAAAACTGGGAGAGTAAAGGGGAGAAGACCACCACATGGCTTGACAAGCTGTGACTATACATCACATGTGACACTAAGAAGGACAGAGCCTGCTGCAGCCAGTAACCTGTCCCTGCAGCAGTAATCACAACCTGCATGATTACACTTTACAGTGGAAGGGAGGTTTCCCGTTCTGAATCCCAGCTGGCTCTCCTCTCTGAAAAGGCCAGGGAACAGCTTTACCCCACAAGGAGAGGGAATGGGGGGTATCTCACAATTCATACTTACTATTATAAGCAATATAAAATATATAAAATTGTAAAAAGAATGTGCATCCATCACATAATACATGATGTCAACCCATCCTTCCAGGGTTATAACCTACAAGAAGACAGAGAAAGAAAGTGTAAGAACAAGAGTCAACCACAAAGTTAGTAAACATCAGTCCTACGCTAATGCCTGATACTCATCACTCCACAGCATCTCTCAGGCTCCATCTAGACCTGCTGCACCTTTCCCAGTTGGATTAGGATAGCAACAATATGCGATCAACAGACTGGTCTGAAACTTTTATAGGAACCTAGCAGGATTAAAATGATAAGGCAATACAACAGAACATCTGAAATGCTGATTCTGAGCCACCACAAAGAATTTCCAAGGAGGAGTTTTAACAAAGAAAAGCCTCTCTGTGCAGATATTGGCTTTTATCTTAGCCTCCTGGTTTTGCAACGCTACCTGTAAAATTTCTAAGTTTTACACTATATTTCCATAAAACCCAGATCTTTGTGATACCTACTGGCTAACCATTACAACTGCATCACTAACATCACAGTGGAAAAGTAACTGAATGGAAAGAGTTACTTTAATTAAATGGAGAATTGATTTCAGACTTGTTTTCTCAATCTTCCTTCCACTAAAAAAGAAGCTGAGGATTTAATTAACACCACACAGGCTATGTGCAGAGCAAAGTGAATGCTGCCATGCAATTTACACTTTTTATTTAGTTAAAACATATCACACACTTCTAGTGTCATCTTGCTACTAGTGTTGAGGCTGAAACTCCAGCACAACTTCCAACAAAATCAAAGCTCCTGTCTCTGAATTTGCTTGCACTGGCGTGCCCTAATCGCTATGCCCAGTGCCAGCCTTGGAAGTCCTAGCATAAAGTCAGGATTGTCCCCTGCCTCCAGTTTCAATGGCATTGTTCCTGATTTGAATCATGTTTGCAATGATCACAGAATCACACAGAGTCACAGAATGGTTGAAGTTGGAAGGCACTTCTGGAGATCATCTAGTCCAACCCCCCTGCTCAAGCAGGGTCTCCTAGAGCATATTACAGCACGGAACTGAAATGCTGGTCTGCTCCAACACCACATGTGAATTAGCTTGCCACAGATAAGAAAAGGCTCAAGCTTAAATAGTGACAAGGACTGTCTGTATGGCAAGTAAAGCAGATCAATAAACTGCTGGCTGTTGAGGCAGTGAATGGATGAGTTTCTTTTCACACCTGGAGCATCAGAGGAAAACACTTGCAGAGAAGGCAGCCATGAATCCACATCTGCAAGGGGAGAGCACTGCTGTGCCCACAAGCTTCAGTGCTCATGGCCACCTTGAGACCGTCAGAACACCTTGCACCAGCACACAGCTCATGGTTGCTGTGGGAGAGATGCCTCTAATTCCTGGGTCCTCTCACCCTAAAGCCAATTGGGGTGATGCCTACAGAGAGACACCACCAAGCTCTCAAACCAACTTCCCACGTTCAAGCATGTCTAACTTAACACCCACGATGCAGCTTGGCGGGCAGGAGCCCATCTTCAGTGCTGACGCCACCTCTGCTGCAAACTGGCGCACACAGTCCCATGCTAAAACCAATAAACAAACTCTGCCAAGGAGCAGGTAAAAATTGTCTCTGCAGCTGTTACACTGTCAGCTGTGCTAGTGACTTTGAGCAATCAGGTCTGAGGACATGCTGGCTGCATGTACACAAATTGCATCCACCTCATGTTCCTCATCACACACATTAAATAACCTTCCATATCACATCCTCACTGCTGGCTGGTGATGTACTGATGTCAGAATAATGGTTTCCCCAGCATGCATTTAACAAAAATGAAGGCATTGCTTTTGGTCAACACGAATCCCATAGATCAATCTGTGATAGAAAGTTTTCAGCAGGAAACGTATACTATGTAGGTGCAAGCGATGCTATTCACTCCTGAATCTGAGAACAGGCTAGGCTGTCTGGGCAGGCACAGGCAACGATTGTTCTGTTCAGTGGTGCGAAACGGACAGTCAGTCGAACCCAAACTGCTATTTTCTGCCTTTTGTTTTAACACTGTTGAAACATTATAGAGACCAAAGCTTTTCATCCATGTCCCTTGCACGTGTGGGCTATGCATGGCAAATGAACGTCTCTTGTACTCGGTGCTCGTGCTGTTCGTGGGGAAACTGGGGAAATCAAGTTGGCAGGTGACACAATGCTAAACCGAATCACTGCTAGCTACCTAAGAAATTGCTTTTTCTGTGCTGTTCAAAGTTTCCGTCTGTCTTCCACCTTACCCTGCTCTGTTCAGATGGGCCTTTTAAAGTCAGGCTGCAACAGCTGCCGTAACAGGTGCTCCATTCATTTACACTTGGTGATGAAAAATGAGCCCAGGGACTCAAAACATATTGGATACACCTCTTCACTGAATTTGCGTTTGGCTGACAATCCTCAAATTGAATGTATTAAAACGATTAAACATAGAGCCCTCTCTGCAAAAGGAGTTACCTGAGGGCTGCCCTGCTGTTGGGCTTCTGCAGGCACTATCAGCACCTGCCTGGGAAACAGCTGCGGAGCCAAGAGTGAGGGCCAAGCAAACATTTATAGAAGGTTTTTTCTCGCATGCTCGACAGCGTTTTCAGCAAGAATCAATCAATATACTACATTCCTCCTCTGGAGAGCTGAAAATGCTCATCCAGCTCCCCAGAAATTTAAGATGTAATTAGAATTTGCATTATTTGCTACTCACTTGTAAACCAAAGGGACACAGGAGGAATAAACAGACCACCAGGCTTTTGTTCTCACGTTTGACATCTTTGTGGATTCCTTCTTGGACTCATCATCCAGTGTAAATGAAAGATTCCTGAACTGCTGAGGATTAGAGAACACTAGCAGTCCTGTAAGAGAGTGGGCTCACAGACATCTGTCATCTTTTTTTAATCAAATAGCTCTAGAGAAATGCAGGATGACACACATGCATGACCACCTGCCTGAAACGAAACCATCTCTATGACTTTTCAGCCTATTTTTGCTATGCTGGGGACTCCTTTCATGCTGTCCTCTAAAGTGCTGCAAATGACCTTAAATGTGTATTTTTGCCCAATTTAAGATCCCACTGTGCACCTCCAGTAAGGCCTTGGTATAAATAGGAATTAGATCATTTGAATTTGCCAACAGCTGGTCTAAACACAATGAACTTAGTTCAACTTTTCTGAAACAAAGTCAAAGGCAATTGCACTGGTGCAAGATTCACTGCTGCAGTACACAGTTTGATCCTAGGCATTTATTTTCAGATCAGATAAACTCAGAGAGAAAGCTAACAACTCTATTTTCCCCAAGAACACTGATGTATTTTTTTCAGTGCTGTTTTCCTACTGTTCCTCCTTTGGGGCGCCCTGAATGTAATATCACCTACTTCACTAAGCAGAAACAACTTGCTCTTCTCTTCAGTTTCCAATCTGATTAATCCAGTTGACTGCAGCTCCAGCATTTGGCCCTCCAAGCCCTCTACAGATGTCTTCCAAGGACCTGGAGCACCTTTCTCGTGCTTTCCAATCTCAGCAACCCATTCTCAGTAATTAAATTCTGTTCAAGTCACGGTTGTTCAGACAGACACATTAAACAGCCCCTCCAAACATACCAGTTCAAAGCTTCCAATATGCAACATACAATTATTTATCAACAGAGATAAGGCAGCAAGAAGCATGTTTTTTAATTCTGCTCTGATGAAAAAGATGTGCAAGATACATGGTACACTAAAATCAGCAGCTGCAAGGAAAGAGCTGAAAGATTCAATTAAGATGACTGGCAAGGTTGTCCTACAGGGTGCTGCCAACTGTAATCACATGCCACAGACCCACAGGGAAAGGAGTCGTCGCCCTTCTAGCACACGAAAAGGTTATTTTGTCTTCGAAGGACTGAGGTTCTGCGCAGACAGAGCTGTAGTTCTAATCAACGAGGGATCCTCCATGATGCTCAATGCAATTCTCCTTGGCTGCTCATTCAGTCCTTTACCTCTTGCACAGAATGGGAATGGACAGGATAAATTATTCAGCTTCCATCAATACCTATGGTGGCTCAGTACTAAAGCCCCGAGTCTTGTGTCTGATCCTCTCCCCTATCAGGGCAAAGGCTTCAATGAAAGCTCACTCAGGTGAATGGAAAGAGATTTTGACTTCATTGATCTCTGGCTCAGACACCATCCATGCATTCCCCAATCATCACATTAATATGAGCAGGATGAGAGTAGACAATTAGAATTTTTTTGTTATTTTAATCTTCTGTTCTGTGATTCTGATTCTTTTGGTTTGCTCATGCCACAATAATCTCATCTGCTCTAACAAAGATGCTCCTCTAACTTATAGTAGCAAAACTGGGGACAGAATCAGGTTTTCTAGTCAAGCTACTCAGAGTCAATCTAAAACTCTAGAATGAAAATCACAAGGGAGATGCAGATTAAAGACATTGGCAATTAACTTAGACCTCCTCATTGTTCCCAGGGAGACAGGCAGTTTACATTGTTTTTTCTGGGGTCACTTGAAAGGTCTCTGCAGAACAATTTCTTTTACAATGTCAAGAAGCTTTCACCATGAAAATCCTTGTCTTCGCACTCAGCCAAAATTTTTGCAAGTTCTTGGCTATAATCCATTCAAGAGCAGGTTATTTTTTGCTTTAGTGTCAGTTGAGAAAGAAGAAAAAAGAATCACCCAGGGGAAAAAAAAGGCAAAAAACCAAACTCCAACCCAAACTACTCTAGTTAGTAAAGTCAAACACTGAATTATTTGCTATATATTATAAAGCACTAATGGTTAGTGCCAGATGGACTACTGCAGATAGAAATCAACTTGGAGGTGTCACTAATCAATGGAAGAAAGTTTGGAAAGTTACTGTGTGAAGTGAAGCTGAAAAGATAAGAGCTGAATGCACAGCACACTAAACTGCAGCTTAGCCTTGAGGCCAGATTTTTCTCACGGCAAGATTTCATTGCCACGATTACTTGAACAAACTTCACTTGTAGAGACATCCTTCCTAAGCACGGGAACCAAAATCTTCCCCCACTCTGCTCAAAAACCCTGAAAAGCCTAGCTCTGGCAGCTTGAGAGGTTTCCTTGGTGGTTGA